AGAAAGGATTGTGGAGAGGAACTTCTTAATGTGAGTGTATAGAATATGCGAGAAAAAAATTATTAAAAGATACAACCAAAAATTTACTTAAAACACTACTTGCTAACTTATAGCTATACATACAGAGTTTCCATTCAACCACACTATAATATTTCCTTACACATCCTTATCCTTATCCTAGTTGGCGAGAAAAAAAGAAACCACCTTGGTGTAAAGAAAAAAAAATGGCCTCACTCATCTCACTCTCTCCTCCATCCATCTTACACACATCCAGAGACTTTCACTTCCGCAGCCATTGATTCTACGTTACCCTCCCTTCTTACTTTTTCCAACCCGCTGTTCCCCAAAGCATTTCTATACTCTTTAGCTAATTTTCCCCTTGCCCATCCTCCCCTAGTACCTCAACCCTCATCTCCTGCCATCCTTTTTCCACCCCTAGTCCTGAACACACCTTCCATACGTGCTCCCATGACTCCAACTCCAATCCGCAAACATTACAAAGTTTGTTATCCCTATCTTCCCAGTACCTATTCCCTTTCAAACAGTCACCTAGTCTAAACCTAGCATACCTGCTCCACCTCTCCTCACTCCAGCCTTTTTTAAGGTAAGCCGGAATCCCTGGACCTTTTACGAATTTATAATCACTGTTGCTTCTTGACCCCCAGATTTTTTCTCATCTCTCCTTTTCTTGCTTCCTTTTGTCCATTTTTACCCACTCTTCTCCTCTCATCTCTCCCTCTTCCCACATCCTTTCAACTTCAATAAGGTTCTGCCCTCTATCCTCGTAAAAGCCTCCCCTTTCCGCTTCCCAGCCGACCAAACCTCTTCCTGCCCTTATTCTCTTTCTCATTTCCATCCTGCATCTCCACGCAATTAACCCACCTCCTCCCTCCTCTATTCTTTTCTCATAGCTCCAAGCCCTCAGTCTTGCTCTACTTTCTAGCCGGTCTCTCTGAAGTTCCTCTCTCACCAAGTAACCCCCCACCCTTCTTGAGACCCCGAGCACCCATCTTAGGTATCTTTCCTGAATTCTTTCCATTTCCTCTCTACCTTTCCATCCCCAAATCTCCACTCCATAGCTCATCACTGACCAAACCAACCTATCAAATAGCCATATCCTTCTAGCCCAATCACTCCTAAATTTCCATTTACCTAGCCCCCAGATCTGTCCCAATAACCTCGCTCCCTTAGCTGCCCTCTCTTACATGTTCTCCTTGATCTCCGTTCCATCTTATTACATATCCTAGGTACGTATACCTATCAACTTCTTCTATTTCTTCTCCGTCCCAGTTCCATCGCACCTTTCTCTTCCTGTCCCCTCCTTTCCTGCATCTCATGATCTTAGTCTTCCCCACGTTCACCTCTAACTTCTTTCTCGCCACGAATCTCTCTAGTGTCCTTATCATCCCCTTCATTTCATCCTCGTTTTTAGCCAACAGCGCTATATCATCCGCGTAAGCTAGAGAGAGCACTTTCTTTCCCCCGGATAACTCTACTCCACCCCATCTTCCCATTTCCAGTTCTTCATCTAGATTCGCTAAAAACAGTACAAAGAGCAGGGGGCTTAATGGACACCCCTGTCTTACTCTTTTTTCCGTCCAGAACCTCTCTCCTAGCTCCTTGCCAATCCTCACACGTCCACACGTTTCACTCAGAACTACCTCACATCTTCTCACTAGACCCTTGCTCACTCCTCTCTTCCTCATAGCCACACTTAATTCACTTCTGTCCACCGTATCGAACGCAGATTTAAAGTCTACGAACAGCACCAACATTTTCCCTTTATCTTTACCTACTTCCTGATTGATCAGATAATTCAAAGCGTAAATATTATCTATGGTCCCCCTCCTTTCTCTAAAGCCAGCCTGCGAATCTGGAAGCAGTCCTTTACTCTCCACCTCCACCTTCAATCTCTTCTCCAGTACTCCTACGTAGACTTTATACGTCGTCTGCATAATCGAAATCCCCATGTAGTCCTCCACCTTCGAACCATCACCTTTTTTCTTAATCGGCACAATCACTCCACTTCTCCACTCGTCCGGCCAACTCTCTCCATTCCATATTCTTTGACAAATCCTTCATAGTTCCCTCAGCACACTTTCCCCTCCGCACTTCCATACTTCATTCGGAATTCCATCTTCTCCTAAAGCCTTAAAATCTTTTAGCTTATCCACCACTTCTTTGATTTCTTCGTACGGAATATGTTCTTCTAAGTCCGTATCGATTGACTCACTATCTTCGGGCAAAACCACTCTCTTTTCCTCCACTCCCCCAAGCATTTTCCTGAAGTGCTCATCCCACTCCTCTATCTTTATCTCTTTATTTATATTCTCCCTCTTTTTCCTTCCTTGATTAACCACTTTCCAAATTTGAGCTTCCGACTTCGCCGTACTTATATATTCCTCCCACTTTCGCTATTCTGCTTCCTTTTTCTCCTTACACATTTTCCCGTACTTTCTTTTTTCCCTCACATACTCTTCCTTTTCTCCTTTACTGCGCGTAAAATTGTTTAAGGCTCTCCTTAACTTTTTCTTCTCCTCTCTACATTCACTATCCCACCACCCTGTACTTCCTCCTCTTTTTCCAACTCCCTTTTTCGACTCCGTTAGCGCACTTTTAATTCTTCCCTTAAGATCTCCCCAAATTTCCTCTGCCACATTTCCTGAAGTTTCTCCTTCCCCAAACTCCTGTTGAAACTTTTTTATTCCTTCATCCGACCATACGCCTCTTCCGGATACCTTTACTGACTTTCTCCCCGCATCTTTTATCCTTTTCCCCCACGTCTCTACCTCCACCACAACCGGGAGATGATCAGAGTCGGTTCTTTCTTCTATTTTTAACCCCTTAATCTTGTCCCTACCTCTCTCATCAATCAATACTAAATCAATTACCGAACAGCCCC